TGTGTGTGTGTGTCCGTGTGTAAACACGATAACTTGAGTACCGTTACAGCTAGGTTGATGAAATTTCATATATAAGTATTTTATCAAAATCGTAGATCCGTATCAACTTTTGAGCGATTTCCGATAACCGGAAGTGGTACTTTTCCTACTTTGAATTTTTCAAAAGCCTATAACTTGAGTACTATTTCAGATAGATAAATGAAATTTCATACGTAAGTAAAAGATCTAATTCTCTACCTTCTATTAAATTTTGAGTCATTTCCGTTGACTGGAAGTAGTACTTTACGCTACTTCCGATTTCTCAAAAAACTAATGTAAATTTTAAAAGTAATAATAATATTGCGCACTATTATGCGCTTTTTTATTTCGCGTTCAATTGGTGTGCAATTAATTTGTCTACGAGATTTTATTCTATTTTTAAAACTTTAAGTATTTAAAATGGATTAAAAATCATGTCTATAGCCCGAGTTCCCATCCCCTGTTATTTTATATAAGAATATTCGAGAAAGTTTAGGGGAGATCACTCCCGGTTTATTTTTCAGTACTTTCGTGTTTTATTTACAATAGAGTTACACGACTAAAAAACATTGCGCGTCTACTGAGCGCAATGGCGCGCCTACTAAACGTAATGGCGCAGCTATTGAAAGTGACGACGCGTGTGGTGTGGTTGGAGAGACATGCCTACTAATTCGGTTCAAATTTTAATTAATTCATAAAAAATTAATTAGGCATCCAATTAAGTCAAATTTAATTTCAGATTGCATTGTCTTCATGTCTTGACCCACGTGTCAAATGTGAATAGTATCAGTCTAGTAGAACTGTCCGAATTTTCACTCCTGCATTTCGATCTAGACTGACGACAGACTGACGACAGAGGAAGTGAGTTAAATAAAAGCTTGTAATAAAAAAAGCATAAAAAAAACCGTTTTAATAACAAGCTTTTATGTAATAATGCACTAAAAAGTAGAAAATAAATTATACACTACTATTTAAATAACTAGAAAGAAAAGCGTGGGTCACTTTAGTATTTACTGGATACCTTTACTAATGTTTAGGAAGACACTGACGCTTTTCTTTCTAGTTATTTAAATAGTAGTGTATAATTTATTTTCTACTTTTTAGTGCATTATTACATAAAAGCTTGTTATTAAAACGTTTTTTTTATGATTTTTTTTTCAGTACATTACATGTTTTATTTACAATAGAGTTACATGACTAAAAATCATTGCGCGCCTACTGAACGTGATGGAGCAGCTATTGAACGAACCGTGATTGCGCAGCTATTGAACGTGATGAAGCGTGTGGTGTGGTTGGACAGACATGCCTACTAATTCGGTCCAAATTTTAATTATATCATAAAAAATTAATTAGGCATCCAATTAAGTCCAAATTTAATTTCAGATTGCATTGTCTTCATGTCTTGACCCACGTGTCAACTGTGAATCGTATCGGTCAAGTAGAAGTTTCCGAATTTTCACTCCGGCGTTTCGGTCTAGACTGACGACAGACTGACGAGGAAGTTAGTTAAATAAAAGCTTGTAAAAATAGAATAAAATCTAGTAGAAAAAAGAATTGCGCACCAAGCGAACGCCAAAACAAAATGTGCGTAATAGTACGCAATATTATTAGTTCTTTATACATTTACATGCGTTTTTTTGAGAAATCGGAAATAGCAAATTAGTACTTCCGGTAAACGGAAATTACTCAAAATTTAACAGAAGGTAGAGAATTAGATCTTTTACTCACAAGTGAAATTTCGTTTATCTATCTGAAATAGTACTCAAGTTATAGGCTTTTGAAAACCCCCCCTTCTCTTTGAACAATTTCCTTTCCACTCCCCATCCGGAGTCTTGACATTTTCATTTGACCTTTGCTCCTTTTACTGTTATCCCATTCAATTTTCCCACGTTTTCCTTAACTTGCTTTCGCGTCTGTTTTTCCAAGCAAATCTTGCGATCAAAATTTCGGGCACTTCCCAGTTAGCTAGCGCACTGAAATTTTCAGGGAAGCTTTGTTTCCGATGACAATACAATATTCAATTGTTATTTATACTAAAATTGATCCATGGAAAATTTTTATTGATCATTTTAGACCCCTATATATTAGTACAAAAACGGGACATAACCTAGTAATTGTAATTTGATGAAAACAAGGTTCGGTACTCTCTCTCTTTTGGCTTACTGAGTAGTGGTCACGCAGTGTTTGTGTACAAACCTATGCAAATCTGACTGATCAGGAATTAGAATGTTGATGGTCAAATGGTTTGCACGCGAGGGCAAAATGGTGAAAGAAACGGCAACACAGAAGAAACGTCGATTGGAAAAGGCACGTATTTTTTACGAGTTGTCTTCGTTTACCCAAAAAAAAGTGAATGCGAAAAGATAAAATCGATAGCAAGATTCGAATGCAAACAAACAGACAAAGACTAAAAAGTAAAAAATAATTATCATTTAAAAAGTTTTTAAAAAAAATTCATAAAAAACGTTTTAATAACAAGCTTTTATGTAATGATGCACTAAAAAGTAGAAAATAAATTATAGACTACTATTTAAATAACTATAAAGTAAAGCGTGGGTCACTTTAGTATCTATTGGATACCTTTACTAATGTTAAGGAAGACACCCACGCTTTTCTTTATAGTTATTTGCGCGCCTACTGAACATCACGTTCAGTAGGCGCGCAATGGTTTTTGAACGCAGCCATTACGTGATGGCGCACCTATTGAAGGTGATGACGCGTGTGGTGTGGTTGGCTAGACATGCCTACTAATTCGGTCCAAATTTTTATTAATTCATAAAAAATTAATTAGGCATCCAATTAAGTCAAATTTAGTTTCAGATTGCATTGTCTTCATGTCTTGACCCACGTGCCAACTGTGAATCGTATCGGTCAAGTAGAAGTTTCCGAATTTTCACTCCTACGTTTCTATCTAGACAGACAGACTGTCGACAGAGGAAGCGAGTTAAATAAAAGCTTGTAAAAACCCACGTTTTCTGATTGAACTAAAAAGTAGAAAATAAATGCTATACATCACAATAATGCAAGCGATCACTCTACTATAAGCGATGAAGAACGTGGGGCACCGTGATTTTCTTACAGTTTCTAATACTGTTGACTCTCTACAAGCTCCCTAATAAAACTCAATAGTATTATCTAATCAATAGTAATATAACTTTTACATCTTATATTAACAATGACCGATAAAAAACTTTTACTTCGGCGCCCCACGTTTTTTATCGCTTATAGTAGAGTGATCGCTTGCATTATTGTGATGTATACCATTTATTTTCTACTTTTTAGTTCAATCAGAAAACGTGGGGTTTTTTTAAACTTTTTTAATGAAAATTATTTATAATTACATACATGACATGTAAATATTTATTATGTACATTTGCAAAACCTTTCGCTTTCATTTGATGTTCGAAATTATGTAAAGAATTTGATGATGATGCACTTGTTTTAATTACAAATAAAAGTATTTAAAAAAAACTATAAAACAAAACAAATGCACTCACACGTATGAGATGCTGTTATAATTTGTTTTAATTGACATAAAAACAAACAATGTTTTTTTTTCAAAACCTGATCAGGCCAGAAATGAGTATCCTATGTTCATATTTTTACTTTCTCGTATATACGAAGTATAGAGAAAGTATTGTAATCGTGCAAAAAAAAAAATCGAGATTTTTACAGATCTCGACGTTTTACACCTCACTGATACGGAAAAACATAATTTTGCAATCTTGTCCGTATGTCTGTGTGTGTGTGTGTCTGTGTGTCTGTCTGTCCGTGTGTAAACACGATAACTTGAGTACCGTTACTGCTAGGTTGATGAAATGTCATATATAAGTATTTTATCAAAATCGTAGATCCGTATCAACTTTTGAGCGATTTCCGATAACCGGAAGTGGTACTTTTTCTACTTTGAATTTTTCAAAAGCCTATAACTTGTGTACTATTTCAGATAGATAAATGAAATTTCACATGTAAGTAAAAGATCTAATTCTCTACCTTCTGTTAAATTTTGAGTAATTTCCGTTGACCGGAAGTAGTAATTTACGCTACTTCCGATTTCTCAAAAAACTAATGTAAATTTTAAAAGTACTAATAATATTGCGCACTATTATGCGCTTTTTTATTTCGCGTTCACTTGGTGTGCAATTAATTTGTCTACGAGATTTTATTCTATTTTTAAAACTTTAAGTATTTAAAATGGATTAAAAATCATGTCTATAGCCCGAGTTCCCATCCCCTGTTATTTTATATAAGAATATTCGAGAAAGTTTAGGGGAGATCACTCCCGGTTTATTTTTTATTTATATATTTATACATATGACGGGGGGGGGGGGGGGGGGGCAAAATATTTTTTGCGAGGCAGTCCTTTTTTTCTAGTTCGTCACTGCGTAAAACTATAGCTTAAAAATATTGTTCAATTTTACCTACATTGTTATACGGCAGGATAGTAGTTGAGGCAAATTAAACGTAATTAAATTATTTTTAAAATGTTTCATTTATTCTCTTTCAGTTGTATTTTTAAAGAACTGCAACACAGAAAAGAAACATGTATTAGTTGTACTGTTTGAGTATAATTCCATAAGTCAAATACATTATACACGGTTTTCAAAAGTCGCTCAAAGCATGAAAATAGCAATAGCGTAGCGAGGGGGGGGGGGCGGGGGGGGACATATGTCCCCGGGCGCCACCTTAGGGGCGCCAAAATGGTTGGAAAAATAAAAATGAAAGCTTGAGGAGGGTGCAAATCAAACGTTTGAGGTGGGGGGTGGCAAATCGAAATCTTGAGGGGGGTGCAAAACGCAAAGTTGTCCCCGGACGCCGGAAAGGGTCGCTACGCCTCTGATTCCATCCCATTCGTATAAAATAAAAATAATTAGTCTCGTTTTCTGTCTTCCATTTCACAATTAAAAAATTATCAATAAGGTTTGAGAAGAAGTAATTTCCACAAACAAATCATTTTTTGCAATTAGTAATTTTTATTTGTTTTCATACTTTTTATGTTAATCGCCTTAACTAAACTATTGATCTTTTTATTCAACCATTTAAATAGATGGAAATAATGATCTCAATTAAATATTTCATGATGGTAGCTGATTACAGATGGTGAACATTACAAAAGCTTCCTATAATAGATGGCATTGTTTCCGTGGAGCTAGACTGACCCATGGACAGTGTTAGCTCACTATGACCTTATCTCGCACTTAGATCCCTAACTCTCTGTATTGGCGGTAGTCGAACCTGGGCCGTCGGGCGGGTTTAGTTTCCGTCGCTTGTTAGAAATCTCTAGATGTTTACATTCTATGAGCCTTTGCCTTCTGGCTTGTATCAGGTCCAGAACTCGCTGTTGTGTATGTGGACTAGCAAAGTGAGCCGAGACCTGAAATATATCGAGTGGCGTTATGTTATTTGTTGTCTCTTTGTTTTATGGTGATCCTTATATTTTATGGCGGGTTTTATAGTTTGTGGTAAAAATTATTTTATCTCGCACTTAGGTTCCTAACTCTCTGTAGTGGCGGTACTCGAACCTGGTTAACTAGCTTTTACGTGGCAGACTCAATATTTTTGATTGCCTTACGTTGTTATATATATATATATATATATATATATATATATATATATATATATATATATATATATATATATATATATATATATATATATATATATATATATATATATATATATATATATATATATATAATATAAGCGGCTAGGTAGTGTGTCAGTCCGTCATCGCTATAGATTTTGGGACTATAAAAGTAAACTACGCACCATGCTGTGCTTTTCAGTGCACCGCAGTGTCTTATTATAAGTACTAGAGTAGGGTTTGTTTATATAGTGGCATAGAGCTATTTTATAATTTCCACTGTTTGTACAATTTTGCATAACGTAAAGAAAATATTAAATACACGCACACTGCTAAAACATATTAAAAGGATCAATGTCAAATATTGTTTTCGTTAATATTCCCAGAAAAAGTAATTACATTTTAATAACATAATAACAGTAGGGTAGAAAAATCTAATTAAACTGCTTAGTAATTTTGCCAATGCAGGTAATTCAAAGATAAATTGAACACACGCTAAAAATGTGAATACAAAATCTGCAACACGGAATAATTGTTGGAATAATATAATTAGCAAAATGTGAATGCAAATTATGCTGACGTGTAATAGTACACTATTGTTGGAATATTATTATTAGCATTTTAAGGCTATCTTTTATTTATTTTATTCACTGAATGTACTGTTTACTAATTATAATTTTTAATCAACTATTCCGCATCATTATAGACATTGGGTGCGCAATGGTTTTAGTTATGAAACTCAATTGTAATTTTTTTTAAATTAAAATACTAGGAAAAAAATGCGTGAATTGATAAAGTGATATATGGTAGGTAAACACGGATATTTTAAATATTGCCTATTTTTTATTGTATATTATTTATTATTATTCTATCTTTCGGTTTGCGGACAAGCTGGGGTTTTATAAAAGAGGCGTAGCTAGGTGGGGGGGGGGGGGGGGGGGGTTGGAAATCGAAAGTTTTAGGGAGGGGGAGGGGGGTAGGGTGCAAATCGAAAGTTTGAGGGGGTGTGCAAATCAAAAGTTTGAGCGGCGGGAATTTCAAATCAAAAGTGGTGCAAATCGAAAGTCTGAGGGGAATGCAAATCAAAAGTTTAAGGGGATGGGTGGAAATTGAAATTTTGAGGGGAGGGGGTGCAAATCGTAAGTTTGAGGGAGGGTCAAATCGAAAGTTTGTCCCCGGGCGCCGGAAATGGTCGCAACGCCTCTGTTTTGTAGTCATTCACTGTGTCAGACGCGTCCGCCGGCGCTCGGAAAGGGCGTGATTTGGCGCTACGGGCTAGACTGTGAGCAATATGCCTTTATGATTGCATTCAAGATGTGTTTATGTTGGTATGAGTGTTGTGTTTGTTTTTTCGTTTGTGTTTTTTTGCGTTCGTTTGTGTTGTGTTTAGTTTTGTTCTGTTCCCAAGTTGGTACGTTTAAAAAAGATTTACCGTGGCGGAGCACGGGATGCAGCTAGTATATATATATATATATATATATATATATATATATATATATATATATATATATATATATATATATATATATATATATATATATATATATGATCTCATGACAAAATATCTCAGACAAAATGTCCCAGACAAAATATCTCATGCACAAATGATCTCAAGGCAAATAATCTTAAGGATAAAGGATCTCACGGACAACAGATCTCAGGACAAAATATATTAGGACAAATGATATCGTGGACAATTGATCTCAGACAAAATATCTCGACTATTCTTATATACTAGAAAAATAACCCGTTGAGTGAGAGATACAACAGGCGCTAGGTTTTTTTATCGGGGGGTGGTGCACTTGAATGTTCGCAGTTGCGACACTGGTAAAAGTATATATTTTCTATATAAATTATATTATTTTTTTTTTGGGGGGGGGGGGAAGGGGCTAAGCCCCTACCCGAAGAGATGCATGAAAGAAACTCTTCACGCAATTCACTTATAACATTAGACAAATAATTTAGGCCTTAATGTCAGTATTTTTATTATGAAGTATCGATGACTTCATTTTTTGAGGGGGTGGGGGGGGGGGGGCTTAGACGTTCGACCGGCGGGGGGGGGGCTTCGCCCCTACCCGAAGAGATGCATGTAAGCGACTCTTTTCACGCAAAACACTTTTAGGATTAGACCACTCAATCAGGCCGTAATGTCAGTGTTTTTATTATAGTGTATCGATGACGTCATTTCTTTTGAGTTTGGATGGGGGGGCGGCTTAGACGTTCTTACGCGGGTGTCGGTCTTATATATTATTGTGTGCACCCTCCCGGCTTTTGATTATTTCCTACTATATGCTCAAAGTGACGTCATGTTTCGTTTTCGTTTTACTATGAAAGTTTTTATTTTGCTTGTATTTTCTTTATAACGTTCTTGTCAGATACATAGTTAGATAAACAGACAGATAGATACACAAACAGCGAAACTATTATTATTGATCACTTGGGGGGGGGGGTGGCAACTCGTTTTAATACATTCTTTTTTTCTCGTATACGAAGTATATAGGACGTATTGTAATCGTGCAAAAAAAATCGAAATCGAGAACTTTCGAGATTTTTACAAATCTCGACGTTTTACACCTCCCGCAGTAGGATAATTATAGTTTTGAAATTGTGTTCGTATGTCTGTCTGTGTATGTGTGTATATGTGTGTTTGTGTGTGTGTGAGTACCGTTACAGCTAGGTTGATAAAATTTCATATATAAGTATTTTATCAAATTTGTAGTTCTGTATTAACTTTTCAGCGATTTCCGATAACCGGAAATGGAACGTATTCTACTTTTAGTTTTTCAAAAGCCTATAACTTAAGTACTATTTCTAATTCTTTTTCAAAAAACTAAGTTTACTCTGTCTTTTGACCGTTTATTAAGTTTAAGTCTTTCAAATAATATATCTCACAATAATCAAAAAAAGTAATAAACCGGGAGTGATCTCCCCTAAACTTTCTCGAATATTCTTATATAAAATAACAGGGGATGGGAACTCGGGCTATAGACATGATTTTTAATCCATTTTAAATACTTAAAGTTTTAAAAATAGAATAAAATCTCGTAGACAAATTAATTGCACACCAAGTGAACGCGAAATAAAAAAGCGCATAATAGTGCGCAATATTATTAGTACTTTTAAAATTTACATTAGTTTTTTGAGAAATCGTAAGTAGCGTAAATTACTACTTCCAGTCAACAGAAATTACTCAAAATTTAACAGAAGGTAGAGAATTAGATCTTTTACTTACATGTGAAATTTCATTTATCTATCTGAAATAGTACTCAAGTTATAGGCTTTTGAAAAATTCAAAGTAGAAAAAGTACCACTTCCGGTTGTCGGAAATCGCTCAAAAATTGATACGGATCTACGATTTTGATATAATACTTATATATGAAATTTCATCAACCTAGCTGTAACGGTACTCAAGTTATCGTGTTTACACACGGACACACAGACACACAGACACACACACACACACACACACAGACATACGGACAAGATTGCAAAATTATGTTTTTCCGTATCAGTGAGGTGTAAAACGTCGAGATTTGTAAAAATCTCGATTTTTTTTTTGCACGATTACAATACTTTCTCTATACTACGTATATACGAGAAAGTAAAAAAAAAATCCATAATATGACATTTAATTTAAAAATGTTTAAAATTGACGAAAATAATCCTAAATACTATAACTATTTTACTGTGACATATTTTGTCCTGATATATTCAGTCTTGATATATTTTGTCCTTAAGATCATTTTGTCTTTGAGATCATGTGTCCTGAGATCATTTGTCCTGGGAACATTTGTCCGTGTGTTATTTTGTCTGGAATATTTCACCTGAGATCATTTGTCATGTCACCATATATATATATATATATATATATATATATATATATATACATACATGCATATATATATATATATATATATATATATATATATATATATATATATATATATATATATATATACATATTTAGACCCAATTTTGTTGTGGTCGTTGTCTTTATGGATGGTTCTATCGATTTATCAATTTAGGGGGTCACTATAATTTATGGTGGTAACTTTTGTGTTTTAATCTATTTTTAGGTTATTGTCTATGTTTTTGTCGCTTACATCTATTTTAAATCTTTGTATTTAGGCTAGGAGCTACAGGACAAACACTTTTTTGTTATTATTCAAGCAAATCCACTGAAACTTCCCCCATATAATGTATGCTCAATGGGATTTTTGAAAATGGTTTCCAAAAAGAAAAATATTTTTGGTTGCCATGGTTACGTCCGCCATATTGGATTTTTGTTTATCATTTTCAAAATGCTAAGGCTCAGCAATCACTGGAGGTAAACACACAGAAAAGCAAGCATTTTGTAGAGTGGTGTTAGCCTAAAACTTTCTATAGAGTACTTTTCAAGAAAAGGGTTTAATAAAATTCTTTTTAATTTTTAAATCCTAGACTGTTAAAAAAGCTGAAATTTGCTCAAATTCAACATATTTCAGTCCATAAAATCTAAAGTAAGAAAAATCTTTAAAAAATGCTTTATAGAAGTTGTTTATATATGTTAGACGAATAATCAGGCTAAGTTTCAGAACTAACAGAGGAATAAGGATTTGAAGAGTTAATTTTAACGTTTTGAGAAAACGCACAAAACTAAAGAAAAATGAAAAATTTCATTCATAACCTAACAAATACTAACAAAATTTGGTTTTAATTTATGCAGGTGTATTTAACATATAAACATGCAGTGAAGTATTAAACTTGCAAGTACATTTTAAATAATAAAGTAAAAAATTGATTTTGGTTGTTGTTTTTCTTACTTTTGGTCTTAGTATTGTAGAGTGGCGCTTATCTGATGAAAACTTTCTGTGTGGTTTTAAACTTGTGATACACAGTTTCAAATGTTACAGGCACCTTACCTTTAGATGTAGTAGACGTGGACAATTCCTGACAAATATCTCTAAGGCGCCGTCAATAGGGCCGTCGAGATTGTCAATGTTCATCTCGAATTTAACCAGACTACGACTGTAGACAACACGGTTTGATTAGTAATTCGTGCGAATTCTTGTTAATGTCTTTATCTATTTGATTTTTTTAAAAACGTTTTCAGTGAACGTTATTTGTATTGCCCACTGATTCCCGTGAATGTGTTATTGTGTCTTTATCTCTTTATCACACAGAAGAATCACACACCACTAAAGATTCACCAACCTGAAATGGGACGAAATATGTTGCAGCACAGCCCCAGTATTCGGTATAGCATTGGTGTTGAAACAAAGAATGTTCAACCGGATCTTGGTGATGGGTAACACTGGATCCAATACGGCCGGGACGGACACAGAAGCGTCTTCAGTAAGGCTATTAACAGAAAACTCAACTTTCTTCGTTGGAAAAACTTTTATCTGTTGATGTCAAGAGAAGAAATAACAATTTTTACTTAAATGCAATTAAATATGTCAAACATGTATCCTCTTAACCTTTCGTCGACTTTGTGTGATTTTAGGTTACTATAGAAACGTACTAATTTCAGGTTCAATTCACTTTCTCCCAGTCACTTTTAGAGTAGAATAGGTTACTCGAACCTGAGACTTGTAATTTAAATTGAAAGACACACAGTCTGTATATAAGTCAGTCGCCAGAGTTTCTTCCAGGCATTTCTTCGGGGGGGGGGGGCTTAGATCCCCCCTCCCCCCCCCCCCCCCCCCCGAACGAAATGAAATTTAGATAATCTATATAGAAAATATATACTTTTAACAGTGTCCGCCCCCCCCCCCCCCCCCCCCGAAAATTTTAAGTGCCCTCCCGGAGAAAAAAGTCTGGAAGAAACACTGTCAGTCGCTATCATAAAAACATTTGTGTCACACATCGATTTGTCATGAAATCACAAGACATGATTTAGGAAACACCTTAAAATACTAAAAATACAGAGGTAATATCCACAGAAAAATAAATGAGAGAGGGCGATAAATTTGTTTGTACATACCACAACTTGTAAAGTACAATTTTTTCGACTAATTTAAAAAAAAATATTTCTGATTTGAAACAAACTGATTTTTTCACTTTCATGAAGAAGCAAATGTTAATGGATGTATCTGATATTTAAAATTTGCTGTATCTAGAAAAATTAACAGAACTGTTAACTGATGAGTTCATAAACATTGCGGTTAGGTTATGGGATAGGTTTAAAACATATTCTGTTTTGAGTAAGCTTATCCTAATCACTCCCTGTTCATTTGCTTGACTATAGACAATTTGAGCAAAGTAGAACATTTGTTTTGTTTTTTAATGTTCTATGGGATCGTTCACTTCTTATTTTGTTGGGAACATGTATATATAGGGATTGTGTGTTGGGGGTTATCATAACGATGAGGAAACATGATGTGGGTAGTTGACAAGGTGGTAATTAATCTAGCATTAATGACCAGATGGACAGGAAGTAATTTTATAGTAGGGGTCTAGATAGACGACACCAGATGTGTGTGGACGTGGGGGGGAGGGTTAGGGTTCTGAGTTTATATCTTGATCATAAACAAAAGCAATGTCCTCCATTACACGCTTCTTAGTTGTTACAATCTATCTTTAAATACTTTAATGAAAATAACATGATTTACTTACCAATTTAACCCAACAGCTTTGAGTGATTGTTTTTGTAGCAACGCAAACATAAGGCGCACATATTCTCAATGTTTCTAACTGTGCACAGGAAGTAGACAGCGCATTAACAAAATCATCGGTCAGAACAAAGTAGTCGATCCCCAGTTTTTTCAATTTTTTTAAAGAAAGTATGTTGTTGGTCACGTTATCAAAATTTACAGGTTCCTCGGGAAATAACACTATAAATAACTGGAAAAAGCCGTCAATCATTAGAGACTGAATAGTTTCTTTGGACGCTGATATTACTGCGTCAAGGACTTTGATGCCTTCGAGGAGTCGCCATTTTGCATAAGGCATTGCAAAACATTGCAGACAGTCAAATCTGGACAGCATTCGTGTCAGAATTTGAAGGATGCTTGACCTAACGGACTCTCTTTCGCAACCCATACGCGCGTCAGATATTTTAAATGACGTCAGCTTTGTTGGCTTTAAAAGTAGCAATAGTTTCCGTAAATAGACGGTCATATTCTTACAGCAGGCGAGATAGTAGAAGGACCGGTGCTCACAATTGATCACCAAATTCCGGCACCGGCTTCCGTAAAGTTTGGCGAACAAGTAAGAGTTTTGTCTTAGCTTGGACTGTTTTTTGCATGATAGTTTTAGGTGGGCGTTCCACCAAAATTGCGGTGTGCCGTGGATTAAGTCGTGCCAAGACTTACACACACCTGCTAGTTTTACCAAGTCCTTAAGGTCAAAATAGCTAAAGATTTTAATAAGGATTTCTTGAGGAAACAGGCTCGCCAGATAAGGCACATTTGATGGTTTGTTTAAAATTAAGTCATACTTCTCTTTGGTTTGATCCAATGCCAAAAGGGCTGTGCTCGCTATAGTAGTCTTTTTAATCCTGTTCATTTTTTAATCAAAGTTAAAGTAAATTTACAGAAAAAAAGGCGGTCGGGGCAGTTTTCAAACAATGTGGCTTATGTTATTTTTGATATGATGAACTTTTATAAAATTACTTCCTTCTATAATCTATTGCATGGTGCAATCCTGTGCATTAAGATGTGTGGTGTGAATTTTTTTTTAAAAAAAAGCTGCTTTTCATCAAGCACTAGAAAGATTAAAATAAATGTTTGTTTTGTCTAAAACTCTATACATAACCCGTTGAGTGAGAAATACACCCGGAGCTCGGTTGACGGAAACCAAAACCAAAATCCCCACCTCAACCTTAATTTTAACCGGCAACTAAAAATGTCTTAGAAAATAGATATTTATCCAGAACTGGCAGTTTAACAGGATCCGGAAATTTAGCCGGATACGTAAAGCTTAACTGCACATTTGAACCAGATCAGGAAATATTATCTGACGGATACGGAGATTCAGGCAGATATTATAATTTTACAGTATACGAAATTTCATTGGAATCGTAATATTATCCGGAACAGGCACTTTTACCGAATCCGTAAATTTTGTCGGATACGGAAATTTAGGACTTTAAAATGCACGAAAAATAACCGAAACGTAACTTTATTGAAAACCGGCATTTTACTTAATCAGAAAATTTAACCGGACATACAAATGCAGCTGGAATAAAATACTTAAAAAAACTTTTAAAAAAACCACGTTTTTCTTGTGGACTAAAAAGTAGAAAATAACTATTTACATACATTTGATGACAAAAAACGTGGGTACGTTCACCATCAAATTTCCCGACCCATCTGCCCGACCCACGTTTTTTGTCATCAAATGTATGTAAATAGTTATTTTCTACTTTTTAGTCCACAAGAAAAACGTGGTTTTTTTTTAAAGTTTTTTTTAAGTATTTTATTTTCTCCTTTTTAGTCCGTTGCTACACATGAAAAACGTGGTTTTTAAAAAAGTTTTTTATATAGTTTATTTTCTACTTTATCTAATCACTTGATTAAGTATGACTTGACTAAGTGTTTTTAAATACACGGACTAAAAAAATCTTGAGCGACCGATACGCTTTAAACAGAGAAAGGGTGTAATTTACGTTGCTGGCGTGGAGATCTACTCACGAATCACGTGATCAAATCTCCCATAAACAAACAAATAAACGCGAAGCTGAGTTAAGGAAAAACGTGTTTATGTGTATTTTAGCATGCCCAGCGTACCAACCGTGTCACCGTTAACAATGTGTTACCGTGTCCGTTCTCCTTTTTAGTCCGTTGCTACACATAAAAAACGTGGTTTTTTAAAAAGTTTTTTTTAAGTATTTTATTTTCTCCTTTTTAGTCCGTTGCTACACATGAAAAACGTGGTTTTTAAAAAAGTGTTTATAAATACACGGACTAAAAATCTTGAGCGACCAGGATTCGAACCTGGGTTGTCGCGGCCACAACGCGAAGTACTAACCACTATACGATCACGGCCAGCGCGCTCACATCGATTGGGGCCGAAGTAACTGTGTCAATAGGCCTCAAGTCTTGTCGGTATCTTTAGAAATCATGTCCTCAATTTTATGGTCCTTGGGGTGTAATTAAATTAAGCTAATTACGGTCACTAATTGCTAGTTTTTATGATTGCATCTGAAATTGTTAGGCGAAAGTAGCATGCATGCCAAATTTCAGGTCTCTAGAGCAATCAGAAGTGGGCTAATTTTCGATGTCAATTTTAACAACAAACAAACAAACGCGAAGCTGAGTTAAGAAAAACGTGTTAAAAACGATAAGTATCCTGAAACGAAATTTAAATAAGCGGGAGTGATCTCCCCTAAACTTTCTCAAATATTCTAATATAACACTACGGGGGATGGCAACTCGGGATATAGACTTCTAGACATTATTTTTAATCCATTTTAAATACTCAAACTTCTTAAAATAGAATATAATCACGAAGAAAAAAGAAATGCACACCAGGTGAACGCTTAATAAAGATGTGCATAATAGTGCGCAATATTATTAGTACTTTAAAAATTTACATTAGTTTTTTGAGAAATCGTGAAGTAGCGTAAATTACTACTTCCGTTCAACGGAAATGACTCAAAATTTAACAGAAGGTAGAGAATTAGATCTTTAACGTACATGTGAAATTTCGTTTATCTATCTGAAATAGTACTCAAGTTATAGGCTTTTGAAAATTTCTAAGTAGGAAAAGTACCACTTCCGGTTATCGGAAATCGGTCAAAAGTTGATACGGATCTACGATTTTGATAAAATACCTATATATGAAATTTCATCAACCTAGCTGTAACGGTACTCAAGTTATCGTGTTTACACACACACACAGACAGACAGACACACAGACATACGGACAAGATTGCAAAATTATGTTTTTCCGTATCAGTGAGATGTAAAACGTCGAGATTTGTAAAAATCTCGATTTTTTTTTTGCACGATTACAATACTTTCTCTATACTTCGTATATACGAGAAAGTAAAAACGGAAACGTACATTTATCCAGAAACTGACATTTTTAACCGGTAACGAAATAAAACCTGAAACCAGGGGCGGAACTATAGTGCCGCCAGACCCCGCAATGCGGTGGGGGGGGGGGGGGGCACGCCATTTATGGGCCCATAGCCAACCATAATAAATTTTTTATAGTTAAAAAATATTTTTCTACTTGCATTTTTGACTTCGGGGTCATCCATAAATGACGTCACGCTTTTTTGACGATTTTTACCTCCCCCCCTCCCCTCCGTCACACGTCGTCACAAAAAGCCAGACCCCCCCCCCTAAAATCACGTCACACCTCAACCTACAACCCCCCTCAAAATTGCTTTTGAATTTTTTTTAAACATCGATATTTTTCCAAAATCTTGTCTAAACTATTACAATTTATTAAAACAGTTATCTAAACCGCGAAATAACGTCTAAAATTCGTTTTCTGACATTGCTTTATTATAATGCAAAAATGTGACGTCGCAACATCTGATCCCCCCCCCTCCCCCTCATCACACATCGTCACAAAATTACGGACCCCCCCTCCCCCCTACGAGTGTGACGTCATTTATGGATGACCCCTTCACGGTAAAAGCTTTTACGAATAACAAACATATTTACTACAGTACTGATGTTATAAAGTAGCTAACACATCTTGTTGAATAAAATAAAATATATGCCTGAGCTGTAGTGTGAAAGATAGGCAAACGTTCAAAACACTCCCATGACTTATTTCCCTTTCCTTTTTTAAATAGTTAAATAAGGGTCCTCATAAGCTCCTTTTAATATATGTGTACTAAACAAATTAAAAGGCAATTACTTCTCTTGCTTATTATTAATTTTTTAAATACATACTAATAAACCGGGAGTGATCTCCCCTAAACTTTCTCGAATATTCTTATATAACTTGGAATATAGACATGATTTTTAATTACTTAATTAAACTTTGAAAAATAGAATATAATCTCATAGAAAAAAGAATTGCGCACCAAGCGAACGCCAAAACAAAATGTGAATAATAGTGTGCAATATTATTAGTTCTTTATACATTTACATGCGTTTTTTTGAGAAATCGGTAATAGCGTAAATTAGTACTTCCGGTAAACGGAAATTACTCAAAATTTGATGAAAGGTAGAGAGTTAGATCTTTTACTCACAAGTAAATTTCATTTATCTATCTGAAATAGTACTCAAGTTATAGGCTTTTGAAAAATTCAAAGTAGAAAAAGTACCGATTCCGGTTATCGGAAATCGCTCAAAAGTTGATACGGATCTACGATTTTGATAAAATACTTATATATGAAATTTCATCAACCTAGCTGTAACGGTACTCAAGTTATCGTGTTTACACACGGACACACACACACACACACACACACACAGACACACAGACATACGGACAAGATTGCAAAATTATGTTTTTCCGTATCAGTGAGATGTAAAACGTCGAGATTTGTAAAAATCTCGATTTTTTTTTTTGCACGATTACAAGACTTTCTCTATACATCGTATATACGAGAAAGTAAAAAGTTAGTGAAAAAACTCTCAACCCCAATATACAACAGAATTCAATGGTGTAGGAAATACGCTCTAACATATACAACAGACACCTTCAGGAACCTTCACCTCAAAACCATCACACCCAAAGCCAGGGAAATAACATACAGACTCATTTACAATTCAACACTCCTAGCAAAACAACAGAAACCCTACTGCCCACTATGCAGACAAAACACACCAGAAACCGAAAAAAACATCTATTTTGAATACCCCACCATACAAAATATGAAAAAGACGCTAGAAGTCAAAATAACAAAAAAACGAGACCTTCAACATCGATGTAGTTATAACCCTGAACAAAATCCCTAAACAAAGAGACAGGCTGGGCCTAGAGCAAAAAGCAAGGAGGGTAGCTATCTATAGACCAGACAGACTATTTGGAACAGTAGAATAAAAGCAAAACACGACAAGGTACGGTTCACGGGACACGTACTAGACTTGATTTATCGTAGCCGACTCGACAATGACAGCACTCAAACACATATGCCATAATTAGCAGCACCACAACGTAAAGAACATATTACACTGCAGCGACCACCTGGTCCACCTAATCCTAACCGACACATCCTCTTTCATCGCATCCTCCCTGCCCCCCCCCTCCCCCGTCCCTAAACCTCATGATCCCAATATCATTTTGCCCCCATAACTGCATCCCCTTCGTCCCCACGACCCCACCCCTGTGTTGAAATACTACGTTAAATACTGAAGATGTATTATCCAAATACATTTCTAACATCATTAATTTGACTCCCACACCCACAACCCCAATGTCCCCACCTTATTTCGCAGCATTTATCATTTGTCATTCAGATTCCTATTGTTGCTTGTTTGTGTATTGTTTTATTTACACAGCTTACAAACAAACATTGTAAAGTCTTTATTTGACACTTTTTTACTATTATCATATATATATATACGGTACTTTGGTCCACAACATACAAAATGACCCCAATGACCCCTCCTCCTTTTGTATTCATTTTATTATCCCTAAACTAATACTTACATTTATTTTGTTAACTTTAATAACATGTACGGACTTATTTGAACTCTTTTATGAGAACAATGTTAACCCCTTTTTTACCTTTAAAACTCCACTGTATCCCCACACCCCGTGATAGCTACACGCCTACCCATCCCTAACCTGTCGGTACTAAACATCCAAATAAACATAAACACCGACTTGAACATACCAAACTTTCACCCTCCGGGTAAATCGCTCACACAGCAATATGTTCGTCAAACCCTCGCCCCCACCCACCCACCCACCCACACACACACACATACATACTATAAATAGTAACCCCACATCCCCTTTAACTGTTCCAACGACCCCACCACCCACCCCAACATCAATTTCGAATGTCTATTCATTTACTTATTTAAAGTTCTAAATCTTGTTTCTTTCCCCTCCTCTTTCACACAGCAACCTTTTAAAAACTCAACGCGACAAGTATATAAATAAAAACTCTTTTCACTAGCCAACTTAATTTATCTCTCTACATAGAAAATGCTTCACTGTCCCATTGACTGTCGCCAACTTTTTTTTTTCAAAAAAAACGATCAGGCCAGAAATGAGTATCCAATGTTTATATATATATATATATATATATATATATATATATATATATATATATATATATATATATATTGATATATATATATATATATATATATATATATATATATATATATATATATATATATATATATATATATATATATATATATATACTAGCGTACCCGACCCCCGCGCGTTGCCGCGGGGATAGGAAAAAGTTTGACGAAATATATTAGAAGGATTTCACCAACGCGTTATCAATTATATGTTCTTATACGCGTGACCTTCTTTTCTAAAAATGAGTTATTTAAATGTAAACAATGCCTACGCTTGGATCATAAATATCAGGACACGGGTTTACCTACACTACCGCATAAAAACTTTGAGTGTGAATTAATTACTCACCGAAATAATATGGTAGAACACACTTCGGTGACCGCCCCTGTGTCAGAGACGTAGAGGGGCGCTCACAGGACCCCCACCCCCCGATTACACTACCGCATAGGCGCGGCGTACAACTCCTGGCTCCTTAAAACTAACAGGCGCCATCGTGCCAAATAGCAACCTGTTAATAATGATGCAGATTTCGTCATTCGCTAAAGCGACACAAATGAACAGGATTTTTTTCTTTAACACGTAAAAAAATTATTTGACGTGTTTTAAATATCAGTGTGACTGATGCAATATGCTAGCGTAACTAATGGTCTATTATTAGATGCTCTATCTCAATTTCTGACTGGATTGTCTAATAATAGATGCGTATTGCGTCATTCGCAAAGTGACGAAACTCTACAGTAGGCTCCTCATATTCAAAAAGTTTTTTTTTTCATCTTTCGCAAGGTGACGAAACTGTACAGAAGGATTTCCTCGCGTTACAAAGTTATTTTTAGAAGCCTGTTGTAGTTTTCCTGCTGAATATAGTAGTACCCCTTACTCGCTTTACATGACGCTCGATTAACGGATGCCAAGTGCCAACATAGTCGCTCTAAAACTCTGGGCGCCAAACCATGTATTGACGAAAGTTGTACCCTATATGGCGCCGCCCATAAGAAACTTTAGTTTTCTTTTTCGCAGAAATATTCTCGGGAGTATTCTCATCTACTCCCTTAAGTTTCATGGCACTCGGATGAACTGCATCCGAGTTTTATTATTTATATACCGTGTATAGAGAAAAAAATCGCCCCCTCCCCTCCGGGGGCGCCGCCCTTGTAATATTAAACAATATTTTTTTTGCAGAGCCCTACCATTGAGTGATCTAATCATCTCCCCAAAGTTTCATGGCACACGGATGAACGGTGTGAAACCGAAATTTTATAAACCGTATATAGAGAAAAATCACAGCCTCCCGTGGCGCCGCCCTTGCGAAATTAAAAAAAGTATTTTTTACAGAACCCTTCCCTGAATTGTTCTAATCAACTCCCCCAAAGTCTCATGGCTATCGGATAACGGTGTCACACCAAAATCGACTTTTATTTTTATATACCGTATATAGAGAAAAATCACACCCTCCCGTGGCGCCACCCTTGCGAAATCAAAAATGATTTTTTACAGAACCCTTCCCTAGAGTTTTATAATGAACTCCGCAACGTTTCATGCCTATCGGATGAACGGTGTCACTGCAATTCACTTTTATTATTTTTATATACAGTATATAGAGCAAAATCGGACCCTCCCGTGGCGCCGCCCTTGCGAAATTAAAAATGATTTTTTACAGAACCCTTCCCTAGAGTGGTATAATGAACTCCCCAAAGTCACATGGCTATCGGATGAACGATGCCAAACCAAAATCTACTTTTGTTTTTATATACTGTATATAGAAAAAAAAACGCACCCTGTCGGGGCGCCACCCCTGCGAATTTGAATTTTTTTTTTTTCGCAGAAACCTCCCGAGGAATATTCTCAACAACTTCCCAAAGTTTCACGGCGATGTGATGAGAGGTGTAGTAATGCATAAAGGACAGACAGACACACAAACATACATTGCTTTATATATATATATATATATATATATATATATATATATATATATATATATATATATATATATATATATATATATGATGGGGGCTCAGAAATTTTTTTCTAGTTCCGCCACTGGAGGTGAAAGATACCTGTTCATTCAAGCCATCGGGTGCCCATGAGCCAAATTTAAGTAGATTCTATTAGTCGCGTTTCAGTGTTTAGGTGTTTTTTTTTAAATTGTGGCACAACCGAACGGCGGTTAGACAAAAGTCCTTTTTTATGTCACGTCCACTCTTGTTAAAGTGTTTTTAAAAAAGTTGACTTTGAGGCTGAAGAGCGACTAGTTGAATCTCTTCCGTCTACGAAGTTTTAGTTCCGTCACTCAGTTTCCAGAATAAACAACTTCTCTTTCTTGTCGACTTCGTTATTTTAAAACAAAACTAACATTTTCTACTGGTAAGTAGACTAGATCTACTTTTTTATGTACGTTTCAGTGTATTATTTCTAAAATATGTTTGCCTTATAGAATAATCTAATAATTTGTATCATGAATGTTACAACTAATTAGTAATTACTAAGCCGATGGAAAGTTCATTTTATTACAATAAATTACATTACTACACTCATAATAAGTTAGATCTACACACCTAGATCAAGATCTAGGCCCTAGAAATCCTAGAATAATCTAGGAATTAGATCTATATTCTAATCTAGGGCCTATACCGCTATATGACTATACCTATATAGTATATACTAGTATATACTATCGTTTTAGGCTTTTAGGCATGTAAAATCGCCCGCGGCTAGTAATGTACGAACAAGTTATCTCATTGTCAAGGCTTTAATAGAAGTATTTTGTGATATATTTGTGTCAAATATTATAGTTAAATGAATGATAAACCTAAAATCTAGGCCGTTTGATTCACAGCTTCCGGGTTTGTTGTTTTGAAGCCATCTCACGGCTCATGCGCTTATCAAAAATGGCGACCAATTTCGCTTTCACTAATGGGTAGAGGGATAAAACTAATGATTACGAAGCCATCGTTAATTTAAGAAATCGGAACTATCCGTTTCTATTTATGTCTGTTATTTAAGAATTGTCGGATCTACTTTTGGCCTAATTTCTTGGTTTGTCTCGCAAGCGGCGCCTTAGTGGAAGTAGCTCTATATAATTTTTATCTTTCGAATCAAATAACTATAAAATACTGCTGCTATTTTTAACTAGACTATTGCTATTTTTCACTTGAAAGCATTAATTTTACACACATAACAATAAACTGGTAATAATTTATTGTAGGCATGAGATAAGCTCTGTAAGAATAAATATGCCATTTTATTATAATAGTTTTTGGTGAACAAGAAGCGCGGGAAAATGTGTGACGCGCAAGAATCCAATCATTTGGCTAGATTTATGACTGTCTTTTATGTCACACCTAAAAATAGAATGTTTACGCTTTCTTCATTGATGATCGTTTTCATTATTTTTTAAACTGAAAGTATGAATTATTAGTTAGATTTCAGGTTTTGTAACTTGGTATACTTACCCTTTATCAAAATTAAAAGCATAGCATGCTGATTGTGAACAAATATAGTCATAAAACACAGAAATATAAAGTTACAATGTGATGTCAGGATGTGCCACACCCGGGTCACACCCCCTCAAGAAAACGCATGTTTATTAAGCTGTTTATCTCATTTTACAACAGTAATTAAAATTAATTTTCAAATTTTTATCACTTATTGGGTAAGATTAAGCACATGTTTACTAAAAATAAAAAATAAAAATAAAAAACAAAAGAAAATTCTGTTTTAATAAAGGTCACGGGTCAAGTTTTTTTTTTCCTTCTGTCAAGTTCAGCGGAGTGTGCCACAGGCTGACCTGACTTTGGAATTTTTTTCAGTAATAATGACTTTGCACAGAAAATTAAAATATGCTAAATTGGCTTAGTTTACTAGTGTGCAAGCTATTATTGATACATTTTTAATTTAAAAAATCATTCTGTAATTCTCATCAAAAAGCCTATACAAATCTAAATCAATGGCTAAATAATAAATATATCAATATATTATATAGGCAAGAAGTTAACTTTAAACAGCAGTGTTTGCGAGCAGGATTTGCTATATTAAAGTTAAAGTGGCTTCCCCTGAATCTTGCGCTATAAGTTTACAATAAAACTGCTATAGTAAATGAGCATGGTTACATCTGTTGGAAACATGGCTAGTCTTCATTTATTACTGAAAATTTTTAATTCAATTGTTTAAAAACAGATACAAAAATGAAACAAGGAAACAGTTTTGTATTTTTCAAAACATAAAACCTCCTCAAAATGTGAAATAATTATTAAAATTTAAGGAGTCACCTGGTTTTCACATTACTAGTCGCGGGTGATTTTGCGTACCTAAAATGATAGATTACCATATATACTATTATTAATTAACTATTAAATTTTATTAATACAAAAGAACTAAAGGAAAAGTCTAAAGTTTACTAAAGTCATAAAGTAATTCTACTGATTCTAGAATCTAGAGTAGATAAATATAGAATCTAGATCTAGAAATCTAGATTCAGTAATTAGTAATAGATCTAGATCTAGTCTATCTTGATCTAGAATTCTAGCTCTAGTATCAAACAGACATAAAGTAAAGGATAAAGTAGATTTCCTCTGCGCTGTCAAGCCTCGAGCGGTCATCGTCTGTTTATTGCTTCGTATAATAATTATTTGGATGTTTTATACGAAACTACCGGTATCTGCTATACGCATGTCCATTTTTAAATATATTCAGGTCAAATTCTTTTGTTTTCTCCTTCTGGAGAAATTATTTCAATCATCTACTTCTTCTAGAACTAGTTTGTGTCTCCACATACAAGCATGTCTAAGCAAATGTTAGGTTTTGTCTTGTTAGTAATTGTTATGTCCCTTTGTTATGATTATTAAAGATGCGTCCCTTGAGTTATCAATGGGTCAGCCATGATGTGTAGTTAATAAATTTAATTAAAGTGTTTTTTATTTGGTTTTGCAGTCTATTAATTAATAATACAATCAACAACACATTAAAATGTGTAAATTATTTATTTTAGCTATTTAAATTGGATAAAGATGTATAAAATACGATCGTTATTAATGTATATAATCAGCGCATCTGCTTTGGCTGAATGGATATAAATTGGAAACAATCAATTACGTGTTTGTTTATATTTAGTCTTTACTTTAAGGCTAAGAACAACGTGTAAGAATTTTAGAAGTAATTTGACACGAAGGAGTTTTAATCTCTTAAAAACACTGTACAATTAATCTATGCAGCTAATGGCCTAATCATATGTAGTAAGTTCAGATCATATACATTACGTGATTATCATGGTCAACCTTATGTTTTAGTCATGTTTATGTAATCGGGGCTCGATAACTGAATAAACCGTTCCCTGAATACCAAGTTGTCTACTGTTATTCAAACCTGTTTTACTCAATCACCTAATAACACATCATTTTACATTTGTATACTGAATACATCAAAGTACATAGGTGTACTAAGTATATCAATGCGCATGAGAAAACACATTCAAAACATCTATGAAGTACATCGTTAAGGGCATAGTACTATGTTCAGTCCCACAACCAATATCAACAGTGAGTTGTCTCTTATTGATGGGAATCTCAAATACGGCAGGTCAGGTTCCTGTAGTACACGTCACTTTTTTATACTCTTGGCCTGTATTCTATCAATGACCAGAGGCGTAGCGATCCATTTCTGCGCTTGGGGCGAAGTATTGATTTTTGCGCCCCCCCCCCATCCCATTTAGTTATTGATATTCCTGTTGTTGAAAATCTGACCCCCTAAATCTTGATTTGGAATGGGTCTGAGCCTTTTAACAGTTAGTTTGCAATTTATTTAATGTAAAAAATATTTCAAAAGTCACCCATCCACTCTCCTTTTGCTACATCTCTGTCAATGTTGTGTGTATCGTGTAATGCTATGTCAATACACATTAGTTTATAGGAGTTTATTTTTCATGATTATAAACCCACCATTACACAGCTTTAGTAGAGCTAAGCCTCTTACCTGAAGCACTACAGGTGAGGCTAATGGGTGCTGAATAAAGTAGTGGGTTTGAATCCTGTCTGACTATGACTAAACTTTGTACCTGTGTCTACATTTGGCATTTTAATCATAACTAATGTCTATATTGCCATTATAAATTATATATAGAAATACAGTAATGGATTGGTTTTTTAATCGATACTAAATATTTAGTATCACAGAAAATGTGGAGCATTTTAACATTTTGAAAATACTGAAACAGATGTTTCCTAAGGACTATCTAAAGCTTAATGCAAACAGATAGAATTACAAAATTGTGAACGATGCACATAATTAGTGATAAGGTACAGTAGCTAATTTACCTGGTTGAAGAACATTGAACCGAGTCCAGGAATTACCGTTAATTACATATGCGTATAGATATTATTAATAACTAGACGATATATCATTCCCAACTTTGCATAAATTGTCGATATTTAAATTTTTAAAATATCTAATGTAAAACACATTATTATTTACCTTTTTTGACGTACTATGTCTGTCTATGCCTATGTACATTTACATATGTATATGCCTCCTTCTATATCTATATGTATATGCCTCCTTCTCTATCTATATCTATATATCTACATCTGTTCTATAACTTTCTCTTTCTATCTATATCTACCTCTCTGTATATCTTGTTCTAGCTATCTCTATCGATCTCGATCTATCTCTCTATCCCTCTTCCTCTCCCTCCTTTGTACACGGCCATTACCAGCTCACATTAGCCAAGCAAATCGAAACAGTTTTTAAAAAATTGATTATTCCTCTGCCCCGTGCTACACCCACTAGACTGGTTGGGTTTCCTCCCCTAGTGCACGGCACCATCAGGTTTACACCTACTGTCTCAAGCCTGATGGATACCATCCCTCCCCATTAATCCAACGCTTCAGGATAGCCCATAAAACCCCCACCAACACCCATATCTACACGTTAGACCTAATGAAAGATTAGAAAAATTAGACCAGTAGTCCAATAGTGACAAGTCGACAAACAAAAATGATATATTTAACACATACAGTCTACCAAATAGCTGTTCTATAATATACAAAACGCTGGGACGAAAATAAAATAAATCAACTACCGTAGGACTGTGGGATGGCGTGACAGAAAGTAAAGGCGGCTGACATAGTCCTGGCCACATTATCCCTTTATATGCCTAGTTCACAGAAATAGATGGACTCTACTTTATCTACCCGACGGATTGCTAGGCTTACTTCTACTTTTTTTACGATATTACTGCCAAAGTAGTTACACCATAATTTCGATCGCTTAATTTTATCAATCACGTTGTTTACCCAGTTCTCATTTACATCATAAAATTAGACATGGCCATTTATGGAGTAGCCAATGTCGAAATGTACTATGTTGAAATTTAAGGCATTCACAACCAATCAGTGGTTTTTTTTCAGACTCTTTTTGTCTGCGGGTGGGGGGGGGGGGGTACCTGAAACTTTGGGGTAGGGGATGATTACTTTTCCACGGTGTGGGTGCATTGGATACATTTTACAAATAAATGATGTATTTATTTTATATGGTTCGTGGTTGGGGGGAGCGGTAGTATGGGGGCGTGGAGGGGTGGGTATTGCCTCACCCCCTCGTAGAGAAGCCTGACAGAAACACTGTAACGATTGTTAAAGAGATACGGGTCAGTACACCTACGTGTTAACGAGTGCCGGACGAAGAAGTTGATGTGTAGTTTATTTGGTTTCGTGAGGAGGGGGTGGGGGAGATAAAAGTCATACAAATCACTTGAATCTAGCCGTCGTCAGCAGAACGGTGGTAAGATTGTACCGTGTTTCACATATCAGTAAGTGGATTAATTATATTGTTCGGTAACTGAAACGTTCGGTGAAGCTAGCTATATAGTGCCACTAGTAAAATACGTCAAACTAAATTTTTCGGGAAAATTCAAAGTTGGTATCGGAACAAGTGTTTTCTCTGTGTTAAATTTGTGATAAAAGTGCTAATAAATAAGTTTAAATATTCACTTTGATTACTCTTTAACTCTTAAAGTTTATTACAATTGCTTTTTAGGTATTTGATATTTAAAAACAATTTAGAACATCTAATTCATACTTTCCAATTAGCATTCTTATCTGTAATTCTTTTGGATTCCTTTAGAGTACATCTTTGTCAAATATGTGTTGTTATTTCTCTTAACTAAAGTGTAACTTTTTATACCATAAGATGAAATATTTTAAAAATTAAGTCTTGGTTATAAGAATTATATACTTTAGTATACTTACTGCTATAAATATTGTTAAAAATTAGTGAAACAATATATAATATTTGGACATATTTTTTTATCAGTAACCACAGTAAAATTCTTCCTACGTCAACCATGTTGCAGTAAAAATTGTTTCAATATTGGTGACTGTCAATTTGTTTGGAGCACCTAATTTCCCCACACCCTTACTGTGCTGTCACATGCAATCCAAAGCAGATCTATAGTTTATGGCATAAAGAGCAATGAAATAATTTGGTGTAGAGTTTTTTTTTTAAACTTGAAATGTCACATACCATTAGGAAGTTATTAAATTTCACGAGCCAGATGGTTAGTGGCTAATATAAAGTCAGCTTCTGTCCTAAGTTATACAAAATTGTATTTTCTTTGAATTGTGGTAGAAGTGGTTTTTGTTGGAATTGGAAATTATTTTTGATAGTCTATTGCAATGTAACTAAATTTTATTTTAGCTCCTGTTATTTTTTTAAAAGAACTGATTTGAATCAAGCTGCTCAACTCGCAACTGACATGGAAAAATGGCCTGAATTACAAGAGTTTTTCGAGACTGTTAAGGTAAATACTAGCAGATTTGTTACACTAATTGTACTGACAAAAGTGTTGTAATGAATGTTTAAATATTTTTTTTTGTACAGCAAATATTTAAACAATGTATTTCACAAACACTGATAATGTTGAAAAAAAAAAGAACCGTTCCATCTCTTATTATAAAATATTTCGCATGACGAATCATTATTATGTATAACTTCTGTATCATTGTGTGCCCTTACTTCAGTATCTTATACAGCAATTAGTTCTTATATCATTACATCTCGGATTCTTATTAAGGACAAAGGGCATTATTGTTGCTGTTCTGGAAGGTATTGCTGATTTATTTCCCACCATGATAGGATATACGCATGTCTTTATATAGCCATTATCTCTTTACCTCTTCATGCCATACATAAAACGTATGTACACCAATAATAAAGTTTACATTACAGAGATCTTTCTCACTCTTGTCACAAACCCATTAACATCAAAGTCAAAATTTTAAATATCAATTTATTTTGTTGTGAAGAAAAACGCTAGAACTACAATTATACTTTAAATTGATTTGGAATTGAATTCCCACAATAATAAATAAATATATTTAATACAAAAAAGTTAAGTAACAAAATAAAAGTCAGCATTTCATAACTGCGGTAAAAAGTTGATATTTATTTTAAAAAGCACAGATTGTGAATAATTCCTGATTGGTTTTCAACTTCTATCAATCAACTTAGTAAAAAAAATATTTTTACAAACATTCTTTCAGAAATATATATGTCTAAAAATTGTTTTTTTTTTCTAATTTTGTTTAGAACACGCCGACCAAATATGATAATGTGATCCATGAACTCCACACGGGAGAGCACTTCTCCAAGATGTACGCTGCCTACAGGCCCCAATACCCACAAGAGATCTACGACAAGATCATGGCCTACCACTCGGAGAACCCGAACAACGAGAGAGAACTCGCTGTTGATGTTGGTTGTGGGACCGGGCAGGGTACTCTGCCCTTGACTAAATATTTCAAAAAGGTTTCTAAACTTGTTTACAATCAGCTTTTATGACATTCATAATGTCTATCTCATTATATCTGTCCTTCTCTTACTGCAAATCTTATAACTCAATTTTGAGCCACTTTTAATGTAACAATTTTATTCAAACTCTTAAATACATTTGCCTCGAAGACACATTTTAGAAAATATAGCGTAAAATTTAATTAGATTTTAAATTATTCATTAGAATTTCAATTAAAACCGTTGTCAACTGTTTACAAGCTTAGGAACCGACCATGAAGATTAAGAAGGGGCAAGTAACTTTCGTTATATAGTAATAAGTATATATTTTCTTTATAAATTGGATTTTGTTCGGGGGTAGGGGGGAGGAGACGTTATTCAGGCCGGGGGGGGGGGGGCGGTAAGCTCTACATACCTACTGAAAGGGAGGCCTGAAAGAAACTCTTCATTCAGACCACTTTCTCTAGAGCGTTCCCGACATTCATTATAACTAAATTTTAAAATTACCAAAGTCAGCAACCTACAGGGAGATAACTGGATTAAGTTGGCACAACGGCAAACTAATGTGAACTGTTTACGCACTCTGAACCGATAATGGAGATTAACAAGGGGCAGATAACTATCGTTTAGAGTTAAACTCGCCACCCTCTGCAAATATTTTTAGTCATAAAAAGCCATTGTTTTTTTTAAACATAGATAACGATTTCTTTGTTTGACTCAATGATAGTCATGTATTATATTTTAACATTGTGTCAACTGTTTCTATTCCAGGTGATAGGGACGGACGTGAGTGAAGACCAAATCAACAACATGCCGAAAAATGTTCCAAACCTGGAGTCTCACGTGTCGTTTGCAGAGGATCTCAAATTTCTGAAAGACGGATCGGTGGACCTCGTAACCATAGCAACAGCCCTACACTGGGTGGATCAACCCAAGTACGATTCAACACTATTTGTATCACTACCGTTGTTCTAAACTAATCAATTGTAACGTAGCATTAAAAGTGAATATTAAAAGTGGTTAAAGTTACAATCGGTTATGAGGCACCAAACATCACATACCAAACATAGGCTTACACACCACCCTAAGCTACAATAGCATGGTTTCTTTCAGACATTTTGCTCCAGGTGGGGAGGGGTTTAAATCCCCGCAAGGGGCAAGAAGTGGCAAATTATCAGCAAGACGTAAGATTGTTTGTAGTTTTTTATTTTCTCGTATATACGAAGTATAGAGAAAGTATTGTAATCGTGCAAAAAATCGAGATTTTTACAAATCTCAACGTTTTACAGCTCACTGATACGGAAAAACATAATTTTGCAATCTTGTCCGTATGTCTGTGTGTGTCTTTGTGTAAATACGATAACTTGAGTACCATTACAGCTAGGTTAATGAAATTTCATATCTAAGTATTTTATCGAAATCGTAGATCCGTGTCAACTTTTGAGCGATTTCCGATAACCGGAAGTGGTACTTTTTCTACTTTGAAGTTTTCAAAAGCCTATTACTTGAGTACTATTTCAGATAGATAAATAAAATTTCACATGTAAGTAAAAGATCTACTTCTCTACCTTCTGTCAAATTTTTAGTAATTTCTGTTGACCGGAAGTACAAATTTACGCTATTTCCGATTACTCAAAAAAAAACGCATGTAAATTTATAAAGTACTAATAATATTGCGCACCATTATGCACATTTCATTTGGCGTTCACTTGGTGTGCAAATCTTTTTTCAACGAGATTTTATTCTATTTTAAAAACATTAAGTATTTAAAATGGAGTTCTCATCCCCTATTGTTTTATATAAGAATATTCGAGAAAGTTTAGGGGAGATAACTCTCGGTTTTTTTTTAATTTCGTACGGGATAGATTAGAAATGGGGAGCGACTCCTGAAAGCTTTACTTTACAATAGTAATGTCGATCTACTGTCAGTGTATCTGTCCGTCTGTCAGTCTTAATAAAATTTTAAAATTACTTTTTACGGAATATGCGTTTAGTTCAGTAATGTTGCAATGTTTTTTGGCCAGGTTTCTTAAGGAAGCAAAGCGTGTGTTAAAGCCTGGTGGGACTTTTGCCGCGTACACTTTCAATGGGGATAATACTGACGACACTGAGTGGCAGACGTACTATTTTGGTGTGAGTAAATTTGATCTTGGTTTAAAGTTATAAAAATTTGATTGATATTTTTTTTTTAAATTGTTTAATTTTAGATTAATTGAGACGATTAAAAAAAGGGGAGCCCGAGTTTTTAAGAAATAGCGTTCTTGTGACGCGACAGACTTTTCAGCACAAATAAGTCGTCTTCGAGAGTTCTTCCCATTCAAATTATAATTTTCAGGAAAATTCCTTTAGGGTTCAGAATTTCATTACAATAAAAATTTGTTTTATTACAGTAGGAAGTTTAGTTATTCATCAATTACCAAAGTTTTGAGTATTTAAAAAAAAAAGTTTTGTATGCAACGAGACGTTAATTCTTACATTATCTTCCGCTACGGTGTACTCGTAGTATTCTAATATAGAAAAGTAAAAGTGTATGTTTACTATATAAATTCCATCTCGTTTGGGATGCCTGGAAGAAACTCTGTGAGGTCGTAGACCGATCCTGGCGGGTAACGGAAAAACTTATTTCTCGTCGGAAAAAACCAATATGGTCGTTAAAATTGTCCAAAATCCGAATTTTCTTATATAAGCAGAGCAACTATCTGTGAAAAAAAAAGCAAACAAAGACTACGTCATTCGTTCAATTTACAAGGGAGATAATGTTTTAAAATAATTATTTTCAAACAGTTTTATACTATTTTAAACATAAACAGAAAATGACGAAGTCTAGCACTCATTTTAGTAAAAAATGAAATAGTAAATTAAGAATTGTATTCTAATTTATTGAAGAAATTATTTTTAAATTCCAATGTAATATCAGTTACGAGTTACACTTTTCACGGAACCTCTGTAGCTCTTATTACCTTTTGAGCCACATATTGCAAACATCACATCAATCACTCTACTAAAACGGGCTATAATCAACAAAAAGCAAAAACAATTTCACTAAAATTAGCGTTGCTGTTTAAGCACTACACATAAAAGCCAATCACTAATTAATTAAACATTCAAATTTTCAATGGTTTTGAAAGCCTAAGCGAAGCTAGGCAGCATGCATAGTTGAACGAATAGACTGCAAATGGAAAGTACGCTGTAGACGCAAAAGACTTATTTTTACTATTTAATCAGTATTGATTATTAATATTGATTAAAATAATTACAATTTATATTTTTGAAATGACCGCTCAACTTATTGAAACACGAAAAGGTAGATTGGGCTTTTACAGCGGCCATCATTACCTAGGCAACAGCTTTAAAAAGTAGGTCATGCGACCAACTTTATTAACAGCCATACTCATCTTTCATATGTTGAGGTCAGAGCATGAACTGAACTCGACTTCATCTTCTTCTTCATCCACTTGACCTGAAGGATAACAATGAACTTTAATAACTATCATTAATCGTCAAATTGATACATTACTTTATTTTTCTATTCGAGAATGTAAACTTTATGAGAGGAAGTCGGGAAAATCGTACGCGAAACGCGCCAGAAATTTAAAGGAAAAGGTATTAGTATTCGTATCGTCTATGGGCTAGTCACCAAAAATAAAATAAGGCCCCTGAGTAATACGAATTTTCTCAAATATCGTTGCTGTTCTGCTGTGGTAGATTTTAAAAATAAATTAATTTTCTCTAGCACTTAGAGCACACAACGAAGACCGGCGCTAGACTTATTTGACAACATGGCGGCGCTTATCCGTATCACTTGATTTCGGGCACGTGTTAGCAAGTCTATAGGGATCTGTACCATCATTCATGGTAAACTTCTAGCCAAGGGAGACAAATAGTCTAATTTTTGAAGTACACATTATTTTAAGTTGTGTCCCGTGTTTTACGAAATGTAACTCATGACATCTTTTTACCTAAATCAAACAATAGCTGGCGAGGACACTGTTTTTAAATTATGTCACATCAAGGATGATTCATGTTGTTGACAAATATGAAACCCTGGAATTTCCATTTCAACACTTGCAAAGGTACAGGGACGTGTTATATTAAGTGAAGACAAGATGCATTGTTTTTTAAAATGCACATTTTCGTATAAAATAATTAGTTTAAAAACACATTTTAAAATGATATCTCTAATCTGAAACTCTGACCTAGTAAATGAATTATAACAATTTATTTTCTAAATAGCTCATGATTTGTTTTAAGTACAATATGGCTACCTTTAATTTGTTCACTATAGCTCTCGCTTCAGCATCAAGTAAAATCTATACTGTTTAGCTTTTTACTTAGTAATTAACTTAGCTCATTATGTAGCCCTTCTCTAATAAAAGCTAAAAGCATTCCTTGTTTTAATCCAAAAAGTTTTTAAAAGCTTGATCACAACATTAGTTTTTAATGAATGATAATTTTCTTTTTTTTCTCTTTATTTAACAATCAGATACGAGGGTATCAAGTACACAAAAGAGCTGACGGTTGATGAGTACATGGGGTATCTTTCTAGTATTCACTGCATCAACATGTACAACTTGGACAATCCTGACAGTAACATTCTTGATGTAATGAAAGAAAAGTGAGACATTTTTTTTTACTTGCGATCCATGTGCTGTAAAGGACGAATATATAATTAATTACAGCACTGCTAATTATGTAATTAACTTCTGTGGTTAAAGTTGGAAAACAAAACGTTTCGATTTTTTAATTTCATATTTATGCTCCTGATGAGGCTAATATCTTAAGTGTTAGATTTTCTTAATTTTTAAATTTCCCTATTTATTTTTTTTCTATTTTTAATTTTTGGAGTGTTCTATTGTTCACTTAAAATCGATATATTTTCATTTCTATTTATATCTTTGTTTCATTATGTTCCTGTATATTTTTGTTGTTATCATTACGTCCAACAGACTGATATCCATATACAAGGCCAAAACATCCAGCGATGAAGAAATCAAAGTGAAGGCCAGCAGTGACATCATTCTAGTACTCGGCAGAAATTAGATTTATAGCATACACGTCATATTTTGAAATTGTATTGTTGATTTATGAACCCAAACCTTACCTTAATGTCAACTGTATGTTCATGTCATTTTAGAGAGTTAAATATAGAAATAATCACATTATCTCTTTATATTCCAGTAAGAAAGTCGGGCTCAAAAGCATTTTTTAAACCTTTCATTTAATCAAATAAGCTTACCTACTGATTTATTTTTAGATGACTTTTGGAGCTATTTTTCCCCCAATCGTTTCTAACGGGTGATAAATCAAAGAAGGGAAAATGGTTAATGTAGTCTTGCGATGGTAATTTTCTAAAATTAGATTAAAAATAACATTTTTTTGTTTTAAATTACAAATATGTGACATTTGTTAGGTTAGTCTTTCAACTTAGACGCACTAATCACATGTAGTAAGGCTCGAAGAATAAAATATTACAACAGAAACCTAAATATATTTTTAGTTAAACAAGATTATAAGATTACAACATAAATCAGACAATAACATTTTGGCTCAATAAGGTTATAAGATTACAAATAAAATCAGAAAATCTTTTTAGTTTCATTTTAGTTAACTGTTTTGCATTTGCCATCAAATCGCATTATACACAGATCTAGTTATACGTTTTTTTTCTTTACTTGTATGCGTATGGTGTTGTTGACCAATGGAGTTAATCTAAAATCTTGCAAATATTTTGGATTAATATTATTATAACTTAAATACTGTTGCTTGAGCTTTAACCCTAGCTTGGCACTAAAAAAAGATTGTTTTAAAATTTAGAGGTTAATGGCACAACCTTAGTCTGGTAGTCAGTCCAGCTAGGGAGGGGAGGTAAATATTGTAGCCACCTCGGGAAGGGGAGGTTAGTATTGTAGCCACCTCAGCTATGGAGGTTAGGTTG